AGGTGTGCCATAAATTCCTCCTGAATGCACATGCTACATCTGCTAGCCCACTGCTTTGGATTGAAGGTGGTCAGTGGTGAGGATCCTATCAAGAGTTGTTGTCCACATTAAAAACAACACCTTCAGGGGGACCTTGGACTTCCAAATCCATCTCCAAGCCTCCATGTGACCTTTCTGCTCAATTAAGTTAGTAAAGAAAGAACCTACCCTCCAACAAATTTGGTCCTCCTTGCTTGGATTGGGTTACTCTATCCCAGTCTTGGATATTCCTTCTCAGCTTTGGAGTCCACACCACTTGACCTGTCAGAATTTGAAAGTAGTTGCCTACTAAACCCATTTCATGCACTACCAAACTGGAGATGTGAGGGTGGGATTCACAAAAAAGGTTGCTGTCCACAACATGAATCCTTCCAAAAGAGAATCTTTTGAAGTGAGTGTTCAGAAAATTCTTTCTTGAGCTTTATAACCCCTTTCCAAACACTTGTACCATAGGAAGATCGAGGTACCTTAGTATACCAGTCCCGATCGTCTCCTCCATACTCAAGCCAGATCAACTGCCTCTAGAATTCCCTCTTTTCAATGCCATATCTCCTTAGCCACCTCCCTAGGAGGGCTTTATTTAGGAGATTGTGGTTAAATGCCAAAGCCACCTTTCTCTTTGGGTGTGCAAGCTTGGCTCCAAGCAACAAGATGGAATAGGATCTCGTCACGGGTCGGTCCACGGGGAAAAGCTCCCGTTTTCCCTTGTTCCTCCCCTTCCTAGCTGAACCTATCTTGGCGTCCTAGAGGGTGAYTTGTCCAAGAGATCACCGAACTCTCCTTTTACTCTCTTTCTTGACTGGAAATTTGATATCTTTATTCAATAATTTCAGCTCCTTAAATAGGAGATTACAAGAGGTAAGAGTCCTCTTTGTAGGAAGACTCCTTGATAACTAAACTGCTTACAGATAAGATAGATAAGACTCCTAGATAAGACTAACTAAACTGCTTACAGATAAGATAGATAAGACTCCCTACTCAAGAAGGATAAAAACTCCCTAAGATAAATCAGACTCTATACTAATCCTTATTGGAACAGATAAGATAAGAGTAAGAAAGCAGATAAGATAAAGATAAGGTAAGATGAACTGTGGCTAGCTAGATAATCTGATGAGGGTCCCACGTTACTGCTGCTGCCGGCGGCGGTACTTCTTCCCCACGAATGCGTCCATAACAAATCTCTTCTCCTCATTTATTCCTTCCCAAAGGAAATTGCACCTTAGATCATTGAAATTGGAGCATTGAATAAAGACAAGAAACAAAGTCAAGAGATTAGAGAGAATGCACTTTGGATCAATGTTATCTTCCCTCCTTTAGATAGATACCCTCTTTTCCACCCTACCAGCTTCCTTTGGACTCTTACAATCACTGGGCTCCACATCTCTTTAGATCTGTCATTTGCAGCACCCAACTTCAAGCCCAAGAACTTAAGAGGGTAGTGAACCACTTTGGCACCCTAATGTGGCCACCAGCTCCCTATTATGAGGCACCTCATCAACTGATACTAATTTGCTTTTCCTAAGTATTGATTTTCAGCCCAAAGTCCATTTCGAAACAGATTAGTAAGCATCATAAGAACAGGTCAAAGGTTTACTAAATACAAGTCATTTACAAAGTGAAGCAATTAGATAATTCGGTTGTTTGCATGCACCCCTAAGCCTTCTATAAATCCTCCTTCCTCAGTGTTGCTAATTAACTACTAAGGGCCTCCACCACAATTATGAACAAGAAAGAGCATAAGGGATCCCCTTTCCAGATACCCCTCTTCCCCTCAGTAGTTATTAGGACTGCCATTAATGAAATTTGAGAATCTGGCCGTAGACAAGCAGGTTGCTATGCATCCTCTCCATTTCAAACCAAACCCCATCCTTCTCAATAGGTAATCCAGAAARCTCCATCTTTTTCCATTTCCAATATGCATAACACCCCTGGCTCGCTTGATTTGAACCTCAAATCAGTGCACTCATTCACTATTAGAAATCTATCAAGAATTTGTCTACCACCCACAAAAGTGCCTTGCAACAGGGAGACAAGTTTTCCCATTACCTTCCTAAGGCAATTTGCTAAGACCTTCAACAATGTTTTGTATATGCTACCAATAAGATTAATAGGATGATATTCTTTTATTTCATCCACCCACTGTTTCTTAGGAATTAAGAAGATAAAGGTAAACTCTATACCTGTCAAGATGGAGGCCTACTTATGAAATTACTGCATCACCTCCAAGAAGTCCCTCCTGAGTAAGTGTCAGCATATTTTGTAGAATTCTATCAGAAAGCCATCAAGACCAGATGCTTTGTTGCCTACATGGTCTTTGATGGCTTGGAGGACTTCCTCTTCTTCAAACTTGTCTTCCAATGCATTCCTTTCTTTGTTAGTCAACCTGTCAAAGCTCACTCATCTAGCTCCAGTCTTGTGGCTTTGTGGGGCAAGTACAAATTCTTGTGGAAGCTCAAAATTGCTGCAGAAATTTCAAGCTCAACCTAAAAAGATTGATCACCAATCTTGATACTTGATATGAGATTGCATATCCTTCTAGCATTTGCAATTTTGCAAAAGAAGATCATATTTCTATCTCACTCTTTTAACCACTGCACTCTTGAATTCTTGCACCAAGAAATCTCCTCCATGCGTACTTGTCTGCAATACCCTTCCCTAGCCTTATGATCTCCAGGAACTAAGGGGCCCTACTCTTCTCATTCAAACTCACAGTAAATCCCCAAGCTTAATGTTTTCTCATTTTGACACAACCCACCTCCTCCTTGGGCCATCTCTTGATCTTCTCCTTCAGGAATTTCAACTTCTTCTAGAATTCCATGCAAGTTGAACCTTCCTCCCACCATTCTTCTAGTTTCTTGATGAATTTAGGGTGTTTGAATAACATTAGCTCAAGATTAAATAGAGATGGGCCTGTTTGCACTGGCCTACTTGATAACATTATTAGTCTGTGAAAAAGTAGCTCATGAGAGGGCCACCTGGATACAGATCCTTCCAACTGCTATCTATAAGGAATCTATACATTTTGAAAAAGTTGGATTTTCTTGAAGATTGCTCCATTTAAAATATGCACGCTGCAATGTAAAATTCGCCAGGCTTAACCAATCTACTTACTCCCTAAATTTAAGCATACCAAAAGATGGCTACACCCCACCTTTCTTCTCCTGGGTGAACCGAATGATGTTGACGTCACCCTCAACGCAAACCAACCTACTCCATTTCCTTGTAGAGGCATCCAATTCAACACAGAATGTTTCCTCTTGTTGGCTGCCATTAGTCCCAGCATTGCAGCAACCTGCCCCACCTCAGCTCCTACCTCCACTGGACCTATTACTCCTCCATTGCCTTTGAAGAAGCATTCATTGCTCCTCCGGAGAAACCAGAGGGATGTGTTTCATGGGCGATAAATCCAGCATGTACTGGAATGATGTGAAACCAGGCTCTGATTGCAATGCAACAAATGGGTTGGTAATGGTGGACCAATGCAGTGTTGAGTTGTACCAGGTGATCAAGAAGATGAAGATCTTGTTCGATATGCGAGACATGTTGGGTGATTACTCTGGTCGGCTGTGAGGATCTTCATGACATTTGGGTTGCCAAAAAATATGATGAAAGTGATCCAGATTTGGCAATTGGGTCTTCAATGACGAACAGGAGGCTATCTGTGCATGAGTTCCACTACATTGGACAAGACCCTCGGGTTAGGCACTTTCAATATTTAGCAAATGCTCAACTCGAGCCCACCCAAGTTGCATCCTAATAAATAGGATTAAAATAATCATGATATCAAAATTTTAGTTTGAATTGTATTGATTTTTCCAGAAATTTCAGATCCATTATAAAATGCCTTAATATTTTGAAAATTTATCATGTTAGAATAGTCTTTTCTTAGTTAGTCATAATCTTGTCCTCGACTCCTCACCGTATTAAGTTCATTATAACTATTAGTGGTTAAGAGTTCTAAAGTGAACAAAATTATTTGGATTTGCCTTTGTTAAGTATCAATTAGGACAAAGGCTTTGGACCATTATGGTGCTAGTCTAAGTTTGGTACTTTCCATTGAAATCATAACTTTGTCATTATTTTTATAGAAAGGAAAACCACAATGTAAGTGGTTAGGCTGTAGGGAGTCGAGTTTGTTTCTTTAAGTTTTTTTCTTTCAGGAAACAATTTTCTACTCTTCATTGTATGATGCATTTTTGTGCCTTTTGTTCTGAGTGTTCATGTTTTGTCACTAGGAGATCATTATTGAAGCTTCTATTAATGAAACTAACTTCATCTAGAACATACCATAAATGATAGAGCAGCAACATCAGTAAACAAATATTATGATTAAAAAAAGCAGTAGACAAACATTATATGATTACCCATACGTGATACTACACAAACTTGTTTTATGAGATTAATGACTATCCGTTTCCTGCTCAAATGAGTCTAGTGAACTGTACAATAAGAAATTTGATTTGATATTTGATAATGAGAGGTTCAGATTGAGTAGGGTGTTCACTATGCATCATTGCATTGTTTGGTAAAAGGATTTGCAGGTCTGGCATTCCTATGATTCCCAGATAAGAATACTAGCACAGACATAGAGACAGTAAGTGGGAATAAACCAAGAAAAGGGTACAGGTATGGGTGTCCCATTTAATATTCTTATATCATGCTTTTATATAGAGATTTTTTAAGCTAAGTGTCATTTCTCAAGACTTATTTTCTTGCCAAATTTAATTACATTCTAACATAGACAAAACTTCTATAGTATGATTTGCTAGAAATTTCCATTGGATAAGTGTAAGTGTTAATATTATTGGATATATCTAAAAGTGCCTATTCAGTATCTTGCGTCATGTCAAGTATGCACCGTTCCAAATACCAGCATGTTAGGTATGTATAAAATTAGCATTCTATCATCAAGAGTAAGTATGTGCATGGAAGTGGTTGGGATTCTGGTGGGGATGACATACCTTTATTTCCAACTCTTTATAGGCACCACAGTATTTCTTTGTACAAACATTAACCCATTTCTGAGTTAGTCTGTAACTTGCCTTCTGGTTTGACATGAAATTTTGGGTTCAAAAGGAGTCTTAAAGATCATGAAAATGAAGAGGTTACATCTCATATGAACTCTCTGAATGGAATATTTCTTCTCCATATTGGACTTGGCACTAGAAATTGGATTTTGGAACCTTAAGGCATATTTTACTGTTCCTCTTTCAATAACCTTGCTGATTCCTCATCTACCTTCCTTTCCCAGTCAAGACTTGAGACTCTTTGGGATGGTTCTACTCATTCAAAAATCAAAACATTTTGATGGGTATCCATTTTAAAGATATCAAGATGATCAACACTGATGAGATGCTCCAGTGGAGATAGAAAACTTGGTGCCTCTCCTCTCATGTGGACACCGTGCATCCTATGCTCGAAGAGTGAATAGTGTTAATCACCTCCTCTCTTTCTCCTACATAATGAATGTGGAATTATTTCCTCCCTTTGTTTGGACTCTCTTGTAAACTCACGATTGATTTCAAGGACTTTCTGAAGTCCAGTAAGCTCCTGTAATGCAACAAAAGAGGGAGAATAATGAAGAGATGTATGAAACTGTCTGTACTTTGGAATGTGTGGAACAAAAAAATGCCAGAATCTACAAAGACATTTTTCAAGAAGTCCACAAATGTCATTGATCTCATTGCAGTAAGGAATGGCACATTATGTTTCCATATTAGGTGAGTTAAAAAGAATTCCAATGGACTCTATCTATACTAAGGGGTTCCAGGCAGTTGTCGGTGTTGTTCACCATTCAGAAGAAAACATTTGACATTGTCACAACATTGAACATGAATGATTGTAATAAGAATTAATAGACAGAAAGGAGAGCAATGCATACTTGATAGAAACAGCACATAGAACATAAGGCCATTGACCAATGCTGGTCCTGACTCCAGCTATTAGGAGGGATGGCCTGGATATGGACCACATTCTCACGTTTGCCACCTCGGGATTTTAACATTGCTTCAAGCACAATAATCTTTCTCAAAAAAACAAAAACAATAATTTTTTCCGGAAAAAAAAAAGATTTGTTTAGCATAATCTGGAAGATAAACCAAAAATACAGGCTGGACATATTTGAAGGCGAATAAATAAGAAATTGAATACAAAGCATGTTTCTTATACAAAGAATAGCTTGAATTTACAATTCCTCAGGTAAAAACTTACCTGATAAAGTGGAAGTTACTGAATTCAGATATAGGACAGAAAAGGATGCTCACACTACACAAAGTAGGGTCTACAGCTTGTACAACACGTGCTAAACCAAAACTTGAATGCCAACAAAGGCACTTTAATTATTCATATTCAAATTTCACCTCTACATTAACATATTTCCTCATAAGCCGAACAATGGAAGATGTAAAGTTAGCCAACATATTGCATTCTTCATGGGTTTTGACCTCTGAAACAACCCCATGGATGACCAACTTTTTTAGATTAGGGCATCTTTCAAGCAGTCCTGCAACCCAGTGAGAGAAGAGATCATTAATAACAGTCCAACCAAGCTCCAATACAACAACATTCTCCAATTGAGATGATCCCGGCAAGCGATAGTGAAGCACTCCATCTCTTAAATCATAACTTAAACAAAGATGGCTAAGTTGAGGAAAGCAAAGAGCAATTGTTTCTAAATCCATAATCTCATCATCATCATCAAAAACCACACCCCAAAGCCGAAGCTTTCTCAACTTTGATGATCTTGAGACCATTAGGTAAAACTTTGGCCACATGATTGTGAAGTTGCTGACATCCACCACTTCAAGGTTCTCAGTATTCTCACCAATATCAAGATGAATGACACTAACATCATCAATCTTTAGCTGTTTCAAAGTCCCCTTGCCAATAAGCTCAAAAAGTTCAAGGATGCAATCTTTTAAATGCAAAGTATCAAGACAATCTGCTTCTAATATAAACTTGTCCAAGCTGATTGCTTCAATATAAATGTTCTTCAATGTTGGGCTGCTCAGTTCCATTGTTGTCTGTGCATCTGACATGGCAATTTCTGGACTAATAAGAACCAACACCTCAATCATTGGGCAGGCAGTGAGCAGAAGACTCAGATCCAAAGCTGAGATACTGACATAACTCAGAGAAAGGGATTTTAGGCAAGGGAATCTCTGGTAACTTGGTTCAACCCCTGTGATAGAATTATGAGCCAAGACCAATACTTCCAGCTTCTGCCTACCACATTTTTCAAGAATGTTAACGTTTGGGGTAGTGCGAACATTATATAGTAGATGGCGCAAGGTTTCCCTAGTATACATAAGCCAGGCAATCACTGGAGCAGCTGAGAACTCATCCACATCATCCATAAAAATAGATAAGCACTGCAAACCAGTCGTCTGGAATATTGTTTGGGTTATAAGGATCTCCAGTCGCCTAGTCGTGAGATCACGGTATACAGGCCAGTCATTGGAGTTGAATGAAAGTGCATGGAGGTGATTCCGGCAGGCTTCTCTCCACTTGCGACAAGTTGCAGAGGCAATTACTACATCTCGTGCAGCTCCTAGCCGTGATAGTATGTTGCCAATGACTTCAACAGGAAGGTTCTCCATAATGAAGAAAAATCCAACTTTTTCATAAACTATCAGACTCCATGAAACCTTTAAGTTGTTCAGAAAACTTTACAGGAACATAATCCGTGCCCCAAGTTCAGATGATTAACAGAGAACTAAAATCCAAAACCTGGTCTGTTTACAGGGGACACAAATACAAAAGATTATCAAAAGAATACAAAGTTTTACTTCTATCATATATAAGGAAGCACAATCGAATCTTCCAAAATTCGGGATTTTCAATCAGATTCTTCTCTTTTTTCCCCGGGGGGGACCGAGAGAAAGAATTACTGGATGAACCTTCTTGGCTTTTCATCACAAAATGGCTGAGGATAAAATATCAACCCGGTCGTCGTAGAAAAATTAAGCAATTTTTTTGATAAATGTAGAAAAATTAAGCAATTGAATCGATTAAAACATATGTATATTACCACAGAAACATCAAAACGAGCAACTGATTTTAGAAAAATAAGATTAAAGCCTTAAATATTTGAATCAATAATAGATATGTCCGAACCAACAATCAGGAAATCAACCAACCAAACTAAACAAAAAATCAAGCACCCACTCTACAAGAACCCAACAAAGAAAAAAAAAACAAAAAGAAAAATCCAGCATCCGGGTATTACTGAGAACATCAAAGACATTGAATACGATTTAACAAAATATAAAAAACAATAGACCAACCTACTTCCGAAAAAAATCAGTTCATTGAAGAACAAAATACGTAGAATCCGAACATCACCCATACGAGAAGAATCCAAGAAAAATGCAATCTAGCATCTGAATTTCTTACCAGGGAATAGGGAAGTCCGAGATCCTGCAGGAACGCCGAAACCAATCGCTGGAACAGCCGAAATTCAAAGTCCCACGATCCCAGAGTCTCAAGACAGAGTAGATGGGCAGTTAAAGAATGAGGTGGCAAATCACAAGACCGAAGCCATAGATGACAAACAGAGAAACAGAAAGAAATGAGTAACGCAAGGCTTCGAAGGAGAAATGATGGCGAAGGATCGATGAAACTGATGGGATTAAGTTTGGAGAATTTGAAGGGACGGGGATACAATGGTAATTTCAATATTACCACTAACGCAGAAGGAGAAGAAAAAGAAATGGTCAAGCGACTCGTGTCGGGGTGATCATTTCTAGGTCTAGACCGGCCCGCAAATTTCCGGACTGGGGCCTAAGGTTCTGTGTTCAGGTTCTGGCGCTCTGCCCGCGTTTGGGCCCCATCAGGCCCGAAAATCTGTGGCCGGAACAAGTATAATATGGCACATATAATATATACTTATATATTATACTTTACTTTATTGCATTTCAATAAAAATTATATTTCTTTGCATAATGTAAAATATTATATAATTATATATAATATTTTACATTATATAATATATTCATATATACTATTATAAAGCTATATTTTTATTGGCTTTGGTGCAGGTAATATAAAAGTTAAATTCGATTACATAATGTCGTTAATTTATATCTTTACTCCTTACTTGTACACATGCAAGTAAGGAGTAGTTTTGGACTGGACCCGTCTAGTCCAAAATCAATTTAGATGGATTGGACGGACCAATAAGACATATTGGATTGGACCAATCCAGTCCAAAATATTTATTAGATTGGATTGAAGCTGATCCATTCATAATAAAGTTATATTGGATTGGGTTGGATTAAGTCAATATCCAATTCATTAATATAAGAATATAAGTGTCAATGAACCGAATTTGAGTTGAAACCAATCTAAATTAAAATGAATTTGAACAAATTGGATGGTCCAAACATTAAATTGGACTGATCTAAAATGGTTCAAAACATTCATTGAATTGGATTGAACCTAGTCCATTTGTAACGGCTTCACATTGGACTGGATTAGATCGGACCAAATTCACTCCAATTGGCACCCTTAATTATGTCTTGCTCTTAAGTAGTATGATTTAATGGTAGAGTATGATAATCAATTTTGATGTATTTTCTAAATCATTATGGCTCTTCCCCGCTGGAATATCTACCATCAATATGATGTGACTCGTTTTAAACCACAGTTGAGTGTTTCCTCTCTCTTCATTTTCAGGGAGGCTAATAAGTCAGTGGATTATTTTGCTAATGGGGGCATTGACTCAGGTGATGATAAAAATGCTTTAAGGATTTATCTTAATCTTTATAAGCTTCAAGAGAGGATTAGATCTTTGTCAAATGCTAGATTAGATGGTAGTGTTTAGGTTTATTTGTATTTTCTTTTTCTTTTTTTTTTTTTACTTGGCTTGTATGGGGTTGGGTTGAGAGTGCGAGAGAGGGATTTTTGTGATCTTGGGCTTTGGGGCAGGGCAAGTTATATCCTTTTACAGAGAAGTACGGATAGGTCCAATGCAGATTTATGATTTCCACTGCAGAGTTATAAACATTCAAAAGGTTAAAAACCCATACTTTATGCACCCATACCCACCGTGAATTGGCATCAATTCCAAGATGACACCTATCCCAAATGTACTTTGAGCCTATTAATTCTGACCCTGGGATGAATCGTCATTCTCCCTATCTTTTTATTATATTGTTTGTAAATGGTTAATAAATTATAAGAAGATCATTCATTCACCTAGAGTAAAGTTTGGGGTGTAAAAAAAAAATTACAGGCCTGGAAGGGCAACTTGGGTTGATATGTGATCACCCCCTAGACACAACCTTCAATGGTAAGAGGGCCGTCCAACTTTAGGACTGCAAATGGCATCCAATTGTCTAAAATTGAATTTGAATTTGACCCCACCCATAGCCCAAATTTGATCAAATATGGATCCACCCTGCTCAATCTGATTGGCATTAAAGTTGGTTTGAATGTTGTGCTTTTATTAAAGGGTAAATTATAGATTATAGATTAATACCTTGTACTTTGTGGGTAGTAGCAAACACCTCCCTGAATTTTCAGATTCCAACAAAGACCCCTCCATTAGTGTTCCATCAATTAACTTCAAAAAAGATTTTCATGACTATTTAAACTTTTATAAATTCCCATTCTACCCTTTTTTCTAATGATTTTTAACTCTCTTATTTTTTTCAATTCCCATTTGTTACTAGTTTAGTTGATAATAATTGCATGTTGTGTTTGTTTATTTCCATAGAAGTTTGTTCGTTTTATGTTACAATATCCATTTTATACAAGTTTATTGAGTGGGGTATTTGGGAAAATTAACTTATTCCATCACCCAATTTAGCGGAGATGGGATATTTTTTGGAATCTAAAAGTTTAAGGGGTCTTTGTCACAAATGAAAATTAAAGTGGTAATTGTCACTACCCCTAAAGTACAGGGTAGGAAATCCGAGGATTTTTAGTTAATTTCTTTATACTATATGATCCAATTTGAATTCAAGTATAATAAATTAATTAAATACAGATTCACCTATATCCAATTCATTATGATCCATTTAAAGCTCTATCCAGCATAGTGACGTGAACGAGTTAGGTTGGACCAAGGTCAGGGTAGATCTGGTCTGACTTGATAAATAAATGTTTAGAACCGGTTCTGAACAAGATCCTCTAGGGTTTGTAATAAGAGACCTAGAAACTAACCCAAATTTGATCAGGTTTATCAGTTTCAATAAGGTTACAAGATTCCCTGCAAGCAAAAACTGTATATACTTTGTAAGTATGAAAATCCAGTCGCACATTGAGAATATCTCTTCATGAATTTTACATATAGAGAGATATTCCTAATGTGGAGCTAGATGCTATGTGTGCAGAATTTTTATTTGGGCTCCTGAATAAAACCCAATTAATTGACAGCTATACTTTTAACATGTTTTTTAAATGTGTAATTTGGGCATCACAATATCTACTATAAGTCTATAACTATATCATCAGAAATATAGGTTTGATAGGGGATGTCTCTGTACTAGCAAAATACATATACATAATTATATACACAGTTGTAATATATTACCGATTTTGCATATTTATTGGTTCGGATCTACCGAAATTGATCCGACTCAATTATAATCTAGGACATTAATGCAGATATGGACCCTATATAATTGGGCGGGGTTGGTTCGGTTCTCTCAGATCTGCCCAACCCCTTGACAGCCCGAATCCAACATCTTCACTACTACAAATAGTCGCAGTGTCGCACCCACCTTGTCATAGTGTGGAGTCGGACGCCACCTGCCAATTGCATTACCTGAACCCGAATGATCAGCCCAGAAAAGATTTTGAGCTAGAAAGTGATCCAACTTTAATTAAATGCGTAAATGGGTTATGTCTCAGACAACCCAAAGGACCTGACCCAAATTCGATGTATATTTTAATTGTTTGTATCTGCTGGAGCTGGAAGTGTACGTGTGTGAAGAGCAAAAAGAGAGAAGTTGATGGGTTATATATGTATGTATGTATGTGAAATTTGTCAGTAACATTGGAATCCCAATTTTTTATTGGGCGAGTTGGTAAGGCCAGGGAAATCATTAAAGCTATGTTTGGTTTATAGGAAAAGGAAGGAACACCTATACAAGGTTTATAAAGGTTTCCTTACATTTTCCTACTTTTTCCTTCAAACCAAACATACCATAAGAATCCATTTGGCTCACGAGAATAGGGGTTTGAAATTTGGCTGGGCGGAATGGGATTCCAATGGAATGGAATTCCCCCATCATTTAAGTTATGTTTGGTTTGAAGGAAAAGATAGGGTCTTGTCTTTCCCTTCCTTTCCATGTATTTTCCTTCAAACCAAACATAACCTTAGGGAATTATCATTACAGTCTCCCCCTTGGGAACAGAAATCTCATTCCAACTAGCCAAAAAAAAAAAGAGACAAATGCCTTAACCCCACCCCTCCCTTAAAACCCTATTTCTCTGTCCAATGCCAAGCTCCCAAGGAGCCATTCATAAATCATGTAATCGGGAATCCAATTCTAATTCCCGTTTGAACTAAATAGGCAGAGCCGCTAAGGAACAAGTAATTCCAATTCCAATCACAGGCCAAACGGACCCTAAAAACACCATTGTTCAGATTCAGCTTGATTGTTTGAATCATGGTTTTAAAAACCAGACCAGAACAGAACCATTTTGGCCATTGGTTCCTGGGTCAAACCATCCAATTTCCTGGTCCAGTGCCAGGTCAGACGGTTTTGGGGTCTAAAACCAGACCCCAATCCATAACCAACTCACGGGCAACCAGTCCAACCATCCAGTTCGGTCCGATTTTCAAAACTATGGTTCTAAAAATGAATTATGCACAGCCATTCTTTTAAAATGCATGGAAGATAACTACATAGTTGAGTTGTGAGTTGTCACTAAATCCATAATTATGGGAATGAAGTTGAGAAGTCCACTGACCTGATTTCTAGTCCACTTATTTCAGATTGGGATGATCCGTTTCTATAATCAGATTGTATTTGGATCTTAGAATCCACATTTGTTTAATGATTGGATTGAATGCGAGTCTAACCCATTAATATTTTGTATTTATATAAATTTGTACATAAATTAAAAAAAATAATTGACTTTTTGCGGACAATAAAACGGTATACTTTCACATCCAATTGGACTTCAGATCAAACTCAAATTTAAATTTTCAATAATCAGATTGGATCTTATTTGAATGTCTAACTCGGATCTAAATCCAACCCAATTACAGCCCTATGTATTGCTGATGTTCTAGAATCCATGGGTAGTAATGGCAGGATTTTGCCGAGAGTTTTTAGTCAGCAACATAAATGGCTCCCTCATCCCCTGTTGAAGCATCTTCAAAGCAGCTCAACCAAAGCTTAAGTGCACGTTTGGGAGGGATGAAGTGCAGCAACTTCTGGCTTTGAGGCTTTCCAAGGTGGGCTCCACATGGACAGCTTGGTAAAGCATTCAGAGAGCCCAAATCGGCTGTCAATCAGTCATTTGAAGGGCTGTCTGCTTCAGCTTCTTTGAATAGCTTATCTGAAGAAGCAGCCATTTTAGCTGAATCTTCATCTCAGCCCTCCCAAACAGGGATCTAAAATAGTCACGGACAGGCTAGACAGTCTAGAATCCAAGTTAACTTTCTTCCTTCTTTTGGCCTTGCCAACTAATTAGTTAGTCCTTTTTTATGATTCCAGCCCAAAAGGTCCCCTTTCACACCAAAGTTCTTTTTCCCTTTTTCCTTTCTCTTTGGCCGCAGTTGGGATGCATGTTAGACAGAATAACGGCCAACTCATGAAAGAGCCAATCAACCATTGACACATTAAAACTTGCTACTACAAATATTGGCACATTCGGATGAATTTTGTGGTTATAAGAATCACACACACATAAAACTCATTCTAAGTGATTCTATAAAGCTAAAAAATTAGTTTCAAAAAGGAATCATTTTGGCTCAAAGTAATTCTTTTAATAGTGATTTTTTGAAAGTAGAATTTTGACCAAAGCAGCCGAAGATGTTGAAACGTCACCTAATCATTGAAGAAAAAGAAGCCATGGATTCAGAACTGCTGAACCAAGAAGATCCCATCTTAAATATCTTTTCTAAACATTGCTGCTTAATCTGGATTTCTGTACATGTCACGGAAATGAAGAAAGAAATGAAGTAGAAAATAGAATCATCACTATCATTTGCATTATTCAAACTGCTCCATCTAGGATGGTATCAACGAGGCATGCATGATGAAAGAAGATAATGTAGAAGGATAACACAAAAAGAAATTGCCATGCAACATCAATAACAAACAGAGAAGCTAGAAGAGTTCTCACAAACAATATCCTCATTCTTCCCATTTACACTACTGCTTTGTTTCTGTAAAAAATACAGCAAGAATGTTAGAAGTGTACACTCCTTATGGAAAATATAATTATTTATGAGATGGGGTTAGCAACAATATATACGAAGAATGTGGCTCCAAATCCAATGTTAGCAACTACAAAGACTAACTTGGCAAGCCTCAGCAGTGCTTATAAAAGGAGTTTGGAAGGTTACTGTTAGAATCCAGATTGTCCAAAGGGATTTGATTATTTTGGAATCTTGTTTTTTAGTTTCATCAATAATGCTACAATTCTTAACTACCACTAGTTTCCGTAGCTCCAGCATTGCTTGTTGTCATAAAGGACTCCCCACAACCACATTGTCCTTTGGAGTTTGGATTGATAAATATAAATTCAGACCTGGAAATTGGAAACACTGCATGAATCAAGGAAATGGAAGAGGAAAATTGGGAAAGCAACAATTAAAAAACACCATATAACAGAGAACAAAAAGAAATTACATAATTAAATGCATAAATGTATTTTCCTAGGAAACAATTCAACAATTCAGACCATCCAATCATAGTCACCCTTGGATATGCATGCAATAGTTCAAGGTTTGGATAATTTAATTTGTCTGAGTTTTGTGCCATGTCAAGGAGTGTCCAGACTTTATAGTTCTCCAATATTAATAAACATCACCATTGACAGCTTACTTGAACCACTGAATAGCCTCCTTGGTATCTATGTCTAAACCATTCAAAACAAAAAACAAAAAACTATGCATGCACGCATTTAAGTACAAGCAGAAAGGTAAAAGTAGGTGGCAATCATTTGAAAGTTGCAGCTTACCTGAGGTTGTCATCTAGAAAATCCATATTTGTACCTATTACATGCATGAGTGCCTTTGGATCGATCAGTATCTTAACACCCTTGTCCTCAACCAACTCATCAAATTTGCCCTTCTCATCTGCATATTTGAAGGCAATGGGACAACAATTTCCATCACAGGCCGTGTATTAGATTTCCCTTTCAACCATGAAAATGTAGACTAAAAGAAATATTGGGACTACAATTCCAAAAATTATTTGATTGAAGGAGCAGCAATAAGATTGTCTACAATTCTCTGTTCTTGTTAAATATAATTTCTACAGAAACTGTATTTGGTGTCATATCTATCTAATTCCATTTTTGTTCCTTGACAGAAAGGATGGTGCTTTCCCTTTTTTACCTTAACTGCTAATATTTTAAGTAATAATGAGTCATTGTGTTGCAATTGAGCAGTTCGAAAATTCTGAATTGAATTTGTGCATAGTGATAGCTACATGAAATTGCTTCTTGGCTAAATTATTGAATTCTTCACTTTTTCTAGATTAGCCTGAATGGTATGGAAGGAATGCTCCTAAATGTTCACTGCAATACATTATGTAGTCATGTAAATATGTGGGTTTATTTCAATGCAAACCTATAGCATAATGTTAGTATTTCTAGGATACACCAAAATTTTATGGACTACAGTCATAAGGTTCATTTAGAAACACGGTTGAAGAACTAGAGTTATCTCAAAAATTATATTTAAGGCTACTCACTGCCTGGGCAACTACAAATCATGGTCCAACCTGATTCATAAGCTTGTCTACCACATCAAAGAGAGGGAACCTTGTGCAAGTAATGTAAGATCTATTACTAGCCAAGAAGAGTGAACCCCAGCCCCCAGCCAAGTGACTGCATAGCTCCATATCTACGCATCCAATCCACTCTTGAATTCCAATCTGACTATAATTCATACCTTTAGCTCTAATTCTTTTCCCTTTTAAGGCCATACCTTTAGCTCCAATTCTATGGATACTTTCAGAAAATTCCTTAGGCTATGTTTGGTTTGAAGGAAAAGGTAGGGAAACCTTTACAAATCTTGTAAATGTAAAGGTTTCCCTACCTTTCCCTACCTTTTCATTCAAACCAAACACAGCTAAGGCATGATGAATCTTCTCAGTCATACTTAATAGATAAGACAACTATACTGCAGATACTCCAAATAAGAAGTATAAAAAACTCAGATGTTGTGCTCTGCCTTAATCCCAATTATTTGGGGTTGCCTACTAGAATCGCATCCTGATGTTGTGCTCTATTAAGAACCATGTTTACTGTCAAATTGTAAGCCTTTAAATCATTTTTTACCACTTCAGTTTTTTCTATGTTCAAAAATAGTTTCTAAGCACGAAGATCATGCATATCTCATATCAAAGCTGTATAACCGCCTTGAACTATATAGAACTGTTCAGTTATTCCTATTATGCTTCTTGAAAAGTGTTTTTAGATTCAATCTAAAAATGGATTCCACCTACATATCTGACTTTATTATGCCCATGGTCCAACAACTCAGTCATACATCATTAATTCATCATTCATGCATACTTTAAAAACTAATCTAAGGGAAAGATCAAGTAGGTATATTATGATTTGAAGGTGACTGTATGTATACACGTCTATATACTGTGTAATAGCTCTAATAGATAGATACAAATTTTATATCTATCTATTAATTATCCATAAAAAGAGGAAACTTAGATCTCAAGGCTTAGTCTCTACGTCAGCTAATATTGATTGTACTAGCTTTAATGTACAAAGTAGATATTTAGCTCAAAATGGTGGAGCACCAATTTAACCAAGCACCACTTCCACCCCATCCTCCCAATGGTCCTAGCCTCTTGGTCAAAACTCTGTAACTGTGTTAAGCAAGAGAAACCAAACAAGTGACACTAATTGAAGCTCAATACTTTGTTTCCTAGAAAGACCCACCAATCATATATTCAATTCATCATCCTTACTAGAAACTAGAAATTAACAAATAGCGCATGAGCTCCTCTTATAGATATTGTATTGGATTTAACGTGTAATAGAAGTTTAAACCCAGGAAACGAATGGAATGAACAAGGCAAAACAAAATGGCCGCACGATTATCTAGAAGGAGACTCGAGTAGACACCCACCCACCCATATACACACAAACAAAGAGCAAAAAATAAAAATTACAGCAGAGACGCTAGCTCAATTGTTCCTCGATTCCCAATTGTTTTCCCTAACCACAGTTGAGCACAATCAAGCTCATTTTAAGCATACCCCACGGATTTTCCCATGGTAAAGTCAGTAAAGTAATGAAACATGAAATTTTTCCTTTTCCATTTTATGAATCTATACATCGGTAACCCCATGAATTAAAAGAAAAATCAATCAAAATTCTAGGTGTCTCTTTTTTCTGCTTTCTACCTATCAAGCAAGGCGTCCTTTTTCCATCAACCATATCTCATAAAGACTAATTTTCATCGAAATTTAGAACACCCAATTGTCAAATTAACACATATAAACGAAACTAAAGAAGTTAGGACCTGCGTAATCGAGGGTATAAGATAAACCGTTGCAACCACGACCCTTGACACCAAGCCTCAGAAACTGGCGCTGCCGTTTCTCCAACAGATGGTGTATTCTAGCAGCTGCAGCCTCCGTCAGCGTAAGAGCTTGTCGTCGCACGGCCGGACCAACCTTCTCCGCTGCGGCCGCGAGGAAGGAAGCCATCTCTCTCGCAAATGCCTTTTGGTCTGAACTCTGATGCAAGCCTGCGCAACAGAGCCACGTACTTCGTACTTGACGAACATGAAATTGCAGCGAAAGCTGTAACTTCCAATCACGTGGCTCCAAAAAGCATCAAGGGTTATTTGGACCAATGTTTTAAAAGCCGACCCGGAGGCCAAACCGTTTAGCCTCCGGGTCGCGGGTCATCGGTTCCACCGGCCGGGTCGAACGGTTCAGATCATTCCACGTCATATATATATATATATATATATGTTTTAGATATGTTATATGTATTTTTTATATTTTTTAACTCAGTTTTTTTATTTATAAAAATATTAAAAATTGTAATTTGAAGCCAAAAAATGAGTTTTTTTTGTGAAAATAGTTGGGCAAGGTGCCTATGGCTCCTTGGGATGCATAGATCTCGAAAAGTTACCCAAAATAAAAAAAAAACACCCTAATTAGGCATTGGAGTGCAACCCGCGACCCGGTGACTACATTGCAACCCGTGCCCCGGTGACTAAGTTGAATGGGTCAACGGTTTAACTGAATGGGTCAAATGGTTCTTGACCAAGTCTATGGTTTTTTACCATCTAACGGGTCTTAACTGAACTGGACCCAATATCTTGGCCGATTGACAATTCGAATGGTTCGACCGGCTAGGTCAACAACGGGTTGAAAACTCTGGTTTGGACTTTTGATTGCCCAAACCACAATTAAAAGTTGAAACCGAAGCTACTACAATAAGTAGGTGTTTGGCATCGGTGTTGGGCATGTGGAGTTATAAGTACCGTTTCTAAGAAAAATGATGCTTATTTTTTGTATGTGTTTGGTATAGCTTATGTTTATTAAATAAACATCCGTACTTGATTTGTCTTCAAAACCGATAAAAGTACTTGATAAATCGTTTATGGATAACTAGGCACCACATCAGCAGAATAGTGAATAAATGCTAGTTGTTGGGGGAAGCGTTAAAATGAAGCTTCCCCCAACGGTTGGTGTGCACATAAATCAAAGCCCACCTTTGTGAATATCAATGCATACGGATGAATATAATGGGAAAATGTTGATTTGATGATGGCATGACGTCGTTTTGATAAATGCCTACGAAACAAAACACACTTTGTTTGGAACCAGTGTTGCCACATAAGCTATTTTTCTGAGAAAACAGCACTAGTTTTGATTGGTACTAGTGTTGGCAGTAACGTTTTCAACATCGTCTATATTATCCAACGTCCAAGATGATGCCACATCATTGCACCATTGGCAACAACACATCATTTTCTTAGAAAACATTGAATTTGGCGTTGCTCCAGATCACACTTTCCCAATTTCTAGGGCATGGTTTGGAGTAACATTTTTTCTAGAAAAATGATACTAAACAAGAGGGTGTTGTTTGAAGCATCGATTTCTTTGATGTGGCACCTACATGGCACCATTTTCTCAAAAAACGACACCGATGCCAAACACTCACTAAAATACAAGGCTATGTTTGGACAAAAAAACTGAGAAAATTAATAAGGAAACCTCTTGATACAAATCAAGGTTTTAAAAACCAACCCGGAAACAGAACCTAGCCACCTGTTTTTGGGTCTGCGGTTTGACCATTCGGGTCAAATGAGTCGATCGATTTAAATATTGTAATTGGTGATATGTCATCTTACCCATTTGGAATATTAGGGTAAGATGCATATAAATAGAAGAGAAAAAAGGGTTGGACTATTTGAGAATGAGAGAGATGTGAGAAGTTGTCGATGGCTAAGAGAGTTTAAAAGAGAGAGAAGAAGAAGAAGAAGGAAGAGGAGGAGGAGGTCAATTGCAGGCTGCAGCGACAACGATGATGGCAATGGCGAACTACAACTGCGGCGATGAAAGTAGATTTGAGATTTCTCTGTCTCAAATCTCTCTCTCTCTCTCTCTCTCTGATCTGTCATCTAGACTCTAGCCTACTCTCTGAGATCTCTCTCACTGTCTCACACATCTGGTAGATCTCATATCTGAGATATCCTCTCTCTCTCTCTCTCTCTCCAGTAGATCTCAGATCTGAGAGATTTCTCTTTTCATTCGTCCTCTTAATAAAATGCAAACTGTTCTTCGGGTCGAACAGTTCAATGGTCAAACCGTCTGGATCAACGGTTTGTTGACTAATTCAATGGTTTTTTACCAAAGACTGGGTTTGGGGTAAAACGGAACCAATCGCCTGAACAGTTTTCGGTCCGAATCGTCCAACCGTCCAGATCAACGACGGTTCGAAAATATTGATGCAAATAACTAGGAAAAAAACCTTAGCACCTTGTAATTAGTTAAAGCGAAGAATTATATTGAGCAATAAAAAACAATGAATGACGCAAGAATGTGAATGAGGGATAAGTGTAAAAATTACAAAGGATAGGATTAAGAATGAAATTATTCATAGGAACCTAGGAGTAACTCCAATTGGTGATAAAATGAAAGAGAGTAGAGTAAGATGGTTTGGACATGTGCATAGAAGGCCACCAACCATGCTGGTTAAAAGAAGTGATTTATTACACATTAAAAGGGCTAAAAGAGCTTAGGGTAGATCAAAAAAAGACATGGACAAAAGTAATAAAAATGATTTAAGCATTAATAATTAAACATTGGATATGACTGTTGATAGCTATTAAATATAACCCTAGCAAGTGCACTAGTTATCAAGTAGTATAAAAATATTGTTCCCATGAGGACTTAACAAAATAAGTATTAGAACCACAATCTTTTCTAATTATTTGAACAATCGAAATTCAGATTTGAGCAATAACTACTTAAAATAAAAACTAGAAAAAAGAAAAATAGAAGCAAGGGTGATCACTGACCAAATATGCAAGGGATGAAATCGCTAGGGCTTTTGGTCCACCTAACCAATGTAATGAATATTAATGAACTCGATTAACCAAGATTATTTGTCATTCCCATAAGCTGAGGTTTTTTCCAATTTTATTTAATATTCTCTCTCGAGATATATTAAAACTACATCCATCAGGTAATCCTTCAATCTCTCGAGTAGAGCTCTCAAGATAGAAATGCATTAAATCCAAGAAAAATCATTAAATTCAGATGAATCATGTATATATATCTCTATATACCATTCAATTCACACTATGAACTATTCAGTCGATTATGTGAATTCCTCTCTCGATTCATTCACATAACACAAATCAATTAAGAGGTGGCCAAGCTCTTAATTGCATTAAGCACAATAATTCATAGACTATATGGAAATCACAATCTTGGATAAATCATAAAGACAAAAATATATTTATTAATATGGTTAGGCTTTCCACAGCCCTAGCAAGAAATAAATCAGTTCATGATAAAAGAATTAAAGCAAACAAAAGGAAAGAAATAACTCTTGAATTCGCCCATGGTGCTGAGATATCCTCTTCTTGCCGCCACCTTTTTCTTGAAGTTTTTTGAATTCTTGATCACCTTCCCTCAGTTTCTTGATTTGTTTTCTCCTTTATTGACTGATTGCTCATTTGCTTCTTGATTCCCTCCAGAGATTGAGTGATGCTAAGGCTGGTCCGCCCCCTCCTTTATATAGCTTAAAGGGGAGGTGGTGGTCTCCTACTTCCTCTTGAAGTTTATCTTACAATAATAGAAAGTCATATTCTAATCCTGCTCTTATCTCTTTATCTAATAAAATCAATCCATTTATCTTTCTAAGATTACATCAAGAATTTAGATCTGGAAAGACTCTTCTCAGTTTCTTGTTCTTGGATTCGTATTAGACCTCTTCTGCGAATTGGGCTTCAGCTAGGCTTTTCTGCAAGTCGGGCTTCAACTGCGGATTGGGCCTTCCTATGAATTTTCCCCGACTTTGGGCCCGGATTTATCTTTGATGCAGGCCGAATCTGCGAAATCCCAAAACATGAAAGTTGTGGCTTCTTTTCTTGTCTTTCCAGTGGGTCTTGAATCAGCCCAATCAGAGTTCGGATACGTGAGTTAGGCTCAGATTACTGAACGCTGCCGAAACTGTGAAAAATCATCCGATTTGCCTTTCTTTGCTCCTGATGCCTTCTTTCATGCCCTGAACCGAATTAGGTATGAAAGACAAAATATTTAGGGATAAAAATGTGATAAATTCTACTCTCATCAATTGTAAATAGAATGGATTGACAAAACAAGGGTCATACATGAGATCGATATAGTTGGGATAGGACATGGATGATAATGAATTTTGAATTTTCTTTTCCAACCCCTTAATTATTATAAAATAAAAGTAAAATAAAAAAAGAAGCATCGGTCATGTTGATACATATCAATACCCAATTTTAAATATCAGGCATATCGATATTTTAATCGTTAAAACATATCCAACCAAAACCAAGAATTTTATAATGTTGAGGAGGAACCTTGCAAACATAAGACCTTGATTAAAAAACCTCCATTAATTTGGAAGGTAGACAAGATCCTATTGTGGATTAACTAATGGATAACTGATGAGACAATGTATCTCATATATCAATAGAATCAAGGTTAACTTTGAAGCATCATTCGATCAATAGGAAGAAGCCACTATGGTTGCAACGCATTGCTAGAAACCGTCTTAGCTAGCATGTCAAGAACATTAAGATGAGGGTTAGAATCATTTGCATCATCAATTTAGCAACTTGGCTCAGTAATGACAACTAATGGTGGATTCGAGTCAAGTTGAGTCGAATATCTAGCTATTCGAACTTGACTCGCTGATAGACTATCAGGTTCGAGCTCAATTTGAGCAAGAGACTTGAGATCAAATTTAGCTCGAGTTAAAAGTTTGGAAATTCGAGCTCAACTGTGAATCAAATGTTTTATAAAAATAAAAAATATACATATAAAAATTATTTTTTATTTGACATATAAAAATTAAGAATTACAAAAAATAATTATTATATATAATTAAAAATCTATATAATATTTTTTATATTGATTACATATATATATATATATATACATACATACATACATACATACATATATATACACATAGATATGTATGTATGTATGCAAAAGTTCAATTAACAAACGAAACTATATACTATGCTCATATTCAGCTTGAAGCTTGGCTCAAACCGAGCCGAGCTGAGCGGCTAATGAAAAGCTTGGCTCATAACCACCCCTAACAACAATAAACAACTGGTCATGCATAGAGGGTGATGCTAAGCTCATTATAGATTAGATTGTGTATAGAGAAGGTCAAGCCTCCATGGTCAATCTTTTTTTTATATCTTCTGAAGGGCTACACAACTGAGGTAGACCATCCCCCAACCCAGGTGTAGGTGGGATTCAGTCCCAAGTCTCCACTATGATCACTAAGAGACCTTACCAACCATCTGGTTGGCACCTTGCAGCCTCCATGGCCAATCTATGGTGTAAAAAAAGGGCATATAGGTAGGCATCAGGATGGTTAACCTCCAAATGAAATGTTTATTTCCGCTCCTTCCACGCCAAACACCCTAATGATGAACACATAACAAGCATTTTCTGTCAATGGAATGCTTGATTATGATGTATTGTTACATCACATGTGAGACTTATTACAGCTATTAGATTTCAATCCCCCAGAGCAAGAAACACTGATTTAATGTTTCACATGCAATTTTAAGGGTATCTATTTCAACCAATAATAATTGTATGTTATTGATCAATCCAAAACATTTCAGATAGAAATAGAAAGAACAATGACATCAAACACAACCTATTGTATAATACTGTTTTTCTTTTAATTTTTCTGTAATGACATTTTAAGGTTAGAAAAGGCAAGAGATAGAGACCCCCAACCTCTCTAAAAGGTGTTTCAATGGATTCAAAAATCGATACATATTGTATGATACCGATCCGATGATACTTTGCAACTTGCAATATTATGAACCTTGCTTGGATACTCGAATAAGCAAATTGAAGTCCCAAATGGAATTCATGCACATTTACAGGAAAGTTGGGTCATCTCACAAGGGAAACCCAGCGCCAGTTGCTGGAAGAAATGAACCATTGAAGAAATTGAAACTAGCTTTATAAATCACGTCTATAGAAATAAATTTGGCTGTACAGGAAGCGATTTGCAAGAGAGCACCACTTGATCAACTGGATCCAATGGCTTCTGGATTGCGCTCAAGACCTTGCCCCCGGAATGCATGTCAACGAACGTATTAGGTGCATTGTTCGGCCAGTTTGAAAACAGTATAGATACAAATATGTATAGTGCGAATGTATACAAAATACAAGGTTTTACACTCTATATATTTGCTCTTTTATGCTCTTTCCAAACTGAGCTCTAACTCGAAAAGAATCTGGTGAATCTCAGTGTTTTAGGTTTAAGTTGCAAATAATCATTCCTCCAATCCCAACTAAGCACCATTATTCATTGTATACCACCGTGCATATAATGGGACCCATCATGTATGAGATGTGTGATATCAGATCATGTCGATAGGGTGTTGGAATATATTTCGTTGGCCGGTGATCTGGATTTATAATGTTCACAAAATCACAGTGCTCTTACAGCTGCTTTTGTAATTCCTTATGCTGTGTTTGGTTGTAGTACAAATAAATTTGCACTAATGCAAAACTATAAAAGTGCAAATGATCTGATCTATTTTTGTTTCAATTTTTACCTTACTCTGTTTGATTGCAGTACAAATGAAGTAAAATAAGACCTGAAGCAGAATAAGTTAAAACCCAAAATAAATTCAAACTAGAATCTGCATTCCCATGCATTTGCATAAATGTAAATAACATTGCACTGCAAACACAGCAAGTTAAAGTGACCAATTTTTTTCAGCAAAACAAAAGGCAGAAAATCCATTTCTACGAGTTTTTCTGACAATCTTCGGCATTTTCATTGCTCATATTCTGCAACACCTGGGTGACCAGGATCCAAATCTTGGAAACCGCCTCTGTGTATATGCAGAGATAAGGCTCTGTCACGCATTGGTCGGAGCCTCTCGTGCACTGGGTTGCCCTTTCACAAGATTTCGTTTCTGTTAAATGGGTTCTTTCTTTTTTTTTTATCTAAATAAAGTTGAAAAAGCTGCTGTTTAATGGAAAAAAAAAAATCCTCTATCAGTCATATAACATCCTCTGTTGAAATTTTACATTTTGAGAAAAGGAAAAAGATCGCTGCATGGTAGGAAAGAGAATATGCTAAGGTGCAATTACAGAATTATGATTCTCTACATAGGTCAAATTTTGATCCAGGAGTCATAAGAGGAATCCATCAAGCGGTGGTTCATATCCAAGTAATTATGGACATTCATCATAATGCTTTAGAAAATATCCAAGACCTGAACAAACTGAAACAGTGGGAACTAAATGGGTAGAATTGAAATAATTTCGAGATGCAATTTACTTCGAACAAAAATGTAAAATGTGCCTATCAACCACACAGAGCAGAAATGAGGAAATAAAGGCACAGGGTAAAATGTCATTCCAATTGCCACTTAATATTTAACCAGATCTTCAAACACCCCAAAACTTGTAACAGTAACCATTAATGAACTATTATTGTCCACAAAATTCCTATTTAAAAGTAAAACAAATATACAAACACTGACAAAATACATCAGCTCTGAGGGAAAAAGCTCGGACCTTAATCCATCCCAGGCTCCATCATATCCCACATGAGCTCACAACTGGCAGAAGAGAATTGCGTTTTCATGGCCAGGTATGCCTCTTAACCTATCTGCTGCTAATTTTTGTTGTACCTAAATATAAACTTAAGGCTAGACTCAAAAAAAAAAAAAAAGACTCAGCTGGTTCAGAGTTAGGGTTCCATCATGAGAGCAAGATGAAGGCATAGTTTCAAGTTTGTTGATGCTTCATTTGTACCAACCGGCAAGCAAATGCCTTAGCAGAAAACAGATGCAGCACCCAAAAACCTGCTTGAACATATGGAGAATTATGCCTGTAGTGTTCTATGTAGCTAGAAATTTAATCTGTCAACCTATTTAATACAAGTATGAGGAGGATTACCTGGAAAGCAAGAAGCCATAGGCAAAGTGATTTCTCTGTTGCTCGGCCAAACCATCTTAAAAATTTGTTGACAAGTGTTCCATCATCTGTCCCAGTAAGCAATCCTGTCTGAGGATCAAAGCTGCAGGAGCAAGGTTCACAAGTACATGAGGAAATTTGAAGGAAAAAACTACACACGTCTTTGACTTGGATTTTGAGCATAAATAAACCTGAAAAAGAGAGAAGCTACCTTGGCAAACGATGTCGTGGACATTTATAGTAGCCAATAAGCTGAAGGTAAAATAAAATACAGGTAAGTTTTATGCCAAGGACATCTAGCCTTTCTCTTAAAGGTTCTATACATACCGGGAAGAAAAAAGGAATGTTTCTGAGCATACCTGAGGGAACGATAAGAGGAAATTTAGAATTTGCGGCATGAAGAAGATCAGGAGTGTTTCACTGAAGGAGGGGTGAGATAAAGAGTAAGTTAGATTTCCCTCTCTTATAGCAAATACAACCATACTCATTAGCATGTTTAAATCGACTGCTGTGAAAAGGTCAAGACAGATTTAAATTCCATATAATCTTGGATAATAACAGAAAATTCGGCTATACCTTTCAAAAGAATTTCAACTATTGTTTCAATTATTGCTTAAGTGATCAAAAAATATCTTTTTGGTCATGGAAAAATAATTTTGTTAGGATACTGCCTAAAACAAGGCTCTCTTCGAGGGAGAACCTACATCCTCAAAAACAGAGAAAGGAAGAGAGAGAGAGAGAGAGAGAGAGAGAGAGAGAAAGAGGAAGAAACAAAGAGAAGAAAGGATTGTTCAAATTCCAAGCATGTTTCATTAATCCTTCAGGATGATGGTATTTATGGACTCATGGTATTCTAGTGTGACGTTGCCTCCTGAGAAAATATAAGCGGGGCACCCTGCAGATGGGCTAGCTCAAGCTGATGTAGAAATGGGCCTCGAACTGCTCGTGGGCCTATCAATCAGCCTCTCCCTAGGGACTGCTCAAATAGAGGTGAGGATGGGCTACCTTAGAAAGATATCCTTTACCTCACTTTCCCTCTTTCAAGGGTTTGTGGAGTTTCTCTCTCGCTATAGCATTATACTTTTTTAGTTATAATGTTGTACTTTAGGTAGGAAACTAAAACAAAGAGGGTAGGCAGACCACCTTGCCTATAAAATGAGTAAACAGCCATCTCTCTTCCTACTGTTATTGCAATGGCTTCATTGCTAAGGTAGGATATAATAGGTTCCTAGGTTGCATGCATGCCTACATAATATTCAACTCTTTTATTCAGTAGCATAGTAAGCAACCATCTTTCACTAGTAATTGTCTATAATCTTATTAAAAATGCACAAACATCATCTAAGACAGAAAATCAATGTACTTATGGGAAAAAAATGGAAGAAAGAAAAGAAACTTCAAAAAATAGAAGGGCTGGGCCCCTAATTTTGTCCGGAAAAAAAAAAGAAAGAAAGGATGAACCTGACAAAATTTCGCGTTCTTGCTTATCAGTTCAGATTTTGAAGTCTTCTAGGGTTCAAGACAGCATACATTTTGATTGAACCCTAACAAATAAGAAAATAACAAAAAGAAACTAGTATTTTAATTCACAAGCTGAATAATTTAGTTTAATATTGTCTGTTTTGTTTTTATAATCCCAAAAAAAGAATATAAAAGTATCCAAGAACACCATATACAAAAGACCCTGGCAATTATGTGAAGCAACCCTCCAGAGGCACCTTGTCATCTAGGTGCCTGCCTAGGCATCACCTTGACTACTATGTTCAGTACAACCTTCCCATCCAATGCATTATTAGATTCTCCATAATATCCTATCTTTACCCACTGAAAACCCGGTAACTGTTTCAATTCCTTACTTTTTCTGACATTTGAACAGATCAGCAATTTTCTGAACTGTTTTTTTAATTGATAAATTTAAATTTCTTTTGATTTTTGAAAAAAGAGTATATCATATATAAGCATGTCAAGTGCCCCATACAAATACTAGGGCCAAGCCTCCCCACCAACATCATTATTGCATTTCAGTTGTGCCCCAAAACAGTTGATTATTCACCCCTTGCTTAGCTAATAGTCAGATCATAGGCTGACCTTGGCACCCATCTAAAACTAGCTTCCAGCTCTGATGTATCTCCCTCATAACATGTCATGACCCCCCCCGCCTTTCAACTAATGTTATGCATCTTTATTCTTCTTAATATAAAAGATTTTTATTAAAAAAAAAAAAGAAAAAATGAGATCCCCCCTTCCTCTTCATCCTCTTCCTAACCCCCTCCTCTTAAGGAGGCTTACGCCTCCTTGTTCGGGAGGCTTACGCCTCCTTGTTCGGGAGGCTTACACCTCTTGCGTTCTGAACTACGCCTCACGCCTCTAGGTAGTGGAACGCCTCGCGTCATGCCTCCACGTTTTAAAACATTGCTTTAAATCAAAGCCCTAAATATGTAAACCCCATCCTAAACACGCAAGTTATGAACCTACATGTCCACATTTAGCACAGTACATAATGAGCATCAGGAATTACTCATTTGCTATTGCAAACACAGGTCATGTTGTGTATAGAGCCACACAGTGGATTTTGTAGCCAAAAAAAAAAAACGTATTTCAGTTATTCAAACATCCTTACTTAAAGCACATGACTGAGGTAATAAAGTCACAAAGTACCATTCCTTCACATGGTGGAATCTAGATAGATTTCAACTTCCAAACACCAATTTGCTGATCTAGAGAAAACTATAAAAGGGACAGAACTTTTACAATAGCTTTGACCTAAATTGAATTTTATAGTTTTGTAATTAGGGAGAGAAAAGGACTTGAGAAGGACCTACCTGAAGTGTCCCAGTATGCCAACTACAGCCATGGTCATCCCAGCAAAGTAAGTGTAGGTGTCACCCACAAAAACTGAAGAAGGATACCTAGAACACCCGTGACAAAAAGAACATTTAGAATGTTGTAGATGATTAAATGGCTGGTGAAAAGAGTCTTGTAAGGGGAAAGAGAAGAAAAATGTAATATGCAAGTTTGTAGAATGCTTAGAAAGCAATGCAATAGGTAGACAGCACCTTATGAGCCTACTTAATAAAGACAACAGGTTTAACCTCATCACCAGTTTTTGAGGTATCACCTCTTCGATAAGAAAAAGAGCAATTACAAGTGGTAACCTCTGAACCAGTTAATAGGCACACTGTTTGTCCTTTAGCTCGAATAAAAAAGATGCATTGCAGCTATTGCTTTTCTTCCTAGCATCCCCCTTAATATTTACCAGTTGTAACAAAGCAAGGCCAATGAAGTTGTGAGCAAAGGCTGGATAAGGTAAATAGAGAATGCATGAGCTTGTTGATATTCAGGATCTGTAGATGCTCCAATTTGCATCACATTATGTATCAAAATCTGTAATCACAGATAATGCATTATTTTCAGATAAATTGACACCATCAAGAAAAACAATATTCCAGCTGTTATTCCTTTTCTTACAGCAGATGCAATGACAACTGTCTGCCCAGCTTCTAGGCCATTTAGGCCAGCATGAATGTTGATAGAGTTTGTACAAAATACTGCTAAAAGTCCCATATAGAATTTATATATCCATCCTGTCCATATGCAAAACCAACTTAGGCCTTTGTAAAAACCCAATATAGAAAATACTTCAACTTGACTAATTATTTAAAAAAAAAAAATCAACTTGACAGTCAAAAGGTGAAATATCAATTATAATCAGCTAATCAATACTAAAATCGTATGGTCATAACTTAAAAACTTCTAAGGATTGTGACAGTTTTGACATTCTATGGTTATGAATCTATCAATATATTTAATGATATATCTCATGATTATTGTTTAAGAAACATATTCATGCATATGTTTGATGATAATATTTGCATGATTTTTATGTTACAGAGAGGATATATGGACAAACAAAAAAACAAGATGTCCACAAAATGGATGTGGTAGACTAGCAGATATGAATATGTTGAGTGGCAACAGTAAGACAAAAAAAAGGAAATAAGTGGAGTTTATCAAGGGGAGAAGTCAAGATAAGGAAAAGTTGAATCAGAAGGTAAAACCATAATAAAGAAAGAAAACAAATACACCAGTTCGAAAAGAGTGATTTAGTACAAGTTAAAGATATTAAAGGGATCAGGAGATGACCAGAAAAGGAAATGGTTTTCTTTTCCATTTTTCTTTTTCCGGGTGGGGATAAATGGGATGAAGCATTAGACAAATTTGTCTTTTATTCTACAAGCTTTTAAATTTTTTTAGGCTTCCTTTTTTTCTCAGTCAGAAGCTTCTGCAAATGATCCATAAAARTTACCACAGTTTGATTCAATGTACTACAGTACCAGAGTACCATAAGTACACATAAGCACCAAGCCTTGTTGATCATGTTACAAGGAAAATTGCAACCAAAAAGGAAAAGCTAATTCCAATTAGTTACACATGGGCTCTAAAGATAGTGTGAGGTGAAGACAAATTGTAGATCAAATACTTATTGCCAATGAATGTGTTGAGGTGAAGAGGAGGAAAAAGGAAAAGGGACTGGTTTGCAAGTTGGATCTTGAAAAGGCATATGACAGGGTGGACTGGGATTTTTTACTAGAGGTTCTCAAGCGTAAAGGGTTTGGGGAGAGATGGTGCAGATGGGTAAAGGGATGCTTTTCTTCATGTCATTTATCAATACTGGTGAATGGTGTAGCTAGGGGTTTCTTCCCTGCAAAAAGGGGTATTAGGCAAGGAGATCCATTGTCTCCATTCCTCTTTACCCTAGTAGCTGATGATTTGAGTGCCATGATTTTGAGGGCTGATGCTAACAATTTGATAAGAGGTTGGAGGATTGGTAGGGAGGAGGTTGTGGTAACACACTTACAATCTAAGGGATTCTGAAATGGGGATGGTTGATGATTTGATCATTCAGTTAGGAGAAGTCTTTCTTGATCAGTCTTGTAGAGAGAGCAGAATTTGGAAACCTTCCTCTTCTGGTTTTTTCAATTGCTCTTCTTTCTACAACATTTTGCTTCAGACCTCTAACCTTGCAGGGAACTTTCCTTCAAAGGAGGTGTGGGGTAGCCCTGTACCCCCAAAAATTTAGGCCTTTTGCTGGGAAGTGGCACTCCAAAAAATCAATACCTTGGATTTATTGCAAAAAAGAGGCCAAATATGTGCCTCTCCCCCCACGTTTGTTGTCTATGTTTGGGTTCTCGTGAGACAATTTCACATTTACAAATCTCATGTCCCTTTGTGTTCTTTATTTGGTCTTGGTTCTCTTCTCTCTTTTTGTAGTCAACCAAAGGTTTGTGGAAGGATCATGTGGAGAGCCACTAGAACTGCTGTATTGTGGTCAGTGTGGGAGGAAAGAAACAATAGGATCTTCAAAGGCAATTGTAGATCCAAGGAAGAGGTTGTGGAATGAGTAACTACTAAGGTTATCCATTGGTTGAAATCCTGTGATCTTTTTAATGATTTCTCAGCTGAAGACATTTATAGAAGTTGGGGTATTGTGGCAWCTACTACTACTTCCAAAGCTATGATACAGGAAGTTTGGTCCCCACCTGCGCAACAAAGGGTAAAACTGAACTTTGATGAAAGCTCTATAGGTAAGTCGGGCCCATCTGATAATAGGAGGTGTTTTCAGAGATAGTGAAGGCAAGATAATGGCTTTGTATTCAGGTCCAGTAGGAGTTGGAGATTCCTTAAGAGCGGAAATCTTAGCACTACATCGAGGTGTAAAACTGGCCAAACAATTGGGGCTACAGCAGATTGAGATAGAGGGGGACTCCAAATTGGTAATTGGGTGGATGCAATCAGGGCAGCTGAGAATTTGGCAGTATAGACAGCTGATAAGGGAAATACTTAGCATAACAAGGGAGGTGGGTATTTGTTTCAAGTGGATAAGGAGATCAGCAAATGGTTTTGCTGATGCTCTAGCAAAACAAGGGACTGTAAGGGAGATACTTTATTGGGCAGTGCTGTAATGTTTGATGTTTATTGGATCAACCTTTTCTAATAAGGGTTGACTTCTGTATTTCAGTTTAATTTATCTCTAATGAAAGTTATCATTTCTGATTAAAAAAAAAAAAGATAGTGTGACATTAAGACAAAAAAATCCTACTTTTTCGACTGCATGGAGATTATTTTCACTGTCTTGCAAACAAATATTTGTTCTGTTCTCAAAAACTTTAACCACTTGGAAGAGGTCAAGACTAATTAATGTAGTTAACCGCATTGGTACTGTTGTCAATAATAAATATGCATCCTTCATTTGAAGCACCAATGTAGAATACTAGTAGAATGGAATAATGTCACTCTTTAATTCTTACAAGATGTAATGATTTTTTTGGGTTATCACATAGTACGCATTAGCAGGGACTCAGGTGGGGACAGAGGATGCATATGAGACCAATTGGCCATACCATGGAGAGCCTGCAGTTCCATTGATTTGGTCTTGGACCTCCTATTTTGGAGTGACAGAGTGATCATCACAATTACATTTACTGGGTCATTGGCCTTACAAGATGAAAGTTAATGTTATTGACATACCATTTCCTTGAAGAAGGAATGAAAATATTGCTAGATTATGAATCTTAGCTTATGGTCATATAATATGAGCCTTCAAAAAGAAAAAACTTAAAAATATTAAATAGCATAAAAGTAACAGAACCCTAAATATTGTTATAGGGTAAAATATAGAATCAAATACCATATCCATCTGATGATGTATCTATCCACATACATGTTTATCATGTATGGATATGGATATAAATGCACGCTTTTAATGAAGAAGGTAAAGTATTAATTTGCATTTAATTGAAATATCAAATCAGAGACATCAGCACCCACGTACAGCAGGGGGCTGTACAATGGGAATATACAGAAAAGTTAAAATAGCATGCCTTGTATCTTCCTAGTCACCATATCTTCCAAATCTAGATATGGATATACATGCAACAAACAACTTACCTAGATCTAAAACCTTTAGRCCCACATATGGAATAAGGGGCTTTGGTATTATGATAGTTGTATGTCCAGCATATGCCATCAACAGAGGAAGTGCTGCAAATGAAGGCAATAGCAATTTTCTGTTCTACAAAATAAAATAAAAGAGCATAAGGATCTGTTTATAACTTTATTTCAGGAAGTTTTGCAGCAAATGGAGCAACTGTTTGGTCTGAAAAGGAAAGTTTGTTTGTCAAGAAAATAAAAAGAAAACTAAGGGCAATACAAGAACTCACACTCTCCARGGAACGTCAAGAACATCATCTACAAATCCAAGCAGAGTCATGAAACAGATACACGCTAAGGCTGCATTGTACTCAACAAGCCACTGCATAAAAAAACTTAACTTAATCAAACATTACCGTTCAACAATTAAAACATACAATAATATAATATTGAGTAAATTACAGATTACCACCCTGTACTTTGGCATAGTTACACTTAGCCCGCATCCCTATTTTTGAGAACCCACGTCCCATTGTTTCTCACATCATCCCATCAAACAAACACAGGATTCAAGGAATCTAACTCGAATATTCCCTACATCTCACCCACGTCGCAGCAACCAAACAGACTGTAAGAGATGAGTAAATGGTGGGTAGACTCTCCATTAGCAAAATAAGCATACATGTGGAGAAAGGCCCCCAATCAGGTCTCCTCCTTCAGAGGTTTTCACAGGGACTAATCTTCAAATAGAAAGCTTCCAAAACATCTAACTTTAGGGGGCACTGGCTGACACCAAATATTTTTCATGGGGAATGGTTGCAAAGGAATAGGATGAGAAGCAATGGCTTGGGAAGATAAGCACAAGAAAATAAACCAAAGGGGGTGACTAACTAAATGCAAGAGTCATTGAGCCAAGAGAAGAAAAATCAAAGAATGCCTTGTCTAGAGAACTAATAAGAGCTAAATCATCTTGTGCTTCAAATTCCCCAAAGCCTCTCCTGAATCCCAAATCCCAATTGAATCTACAAGGAGAGGGAGAAGCAAAGTTACTAATGATTTTATTCATAAAATTGGAAATGGAATAGAGATTTGGAAAAGAGTCCTTGAGAGGTCTATACTCTATTCTCATATGTCCTCCTAAATTTTAATTTTATCCCCCATGCAAGCATCATATCTATTATTTAACATAATTGAGGAAGTCAAGAAAAACTTTGGAAATAGCCTTCCATGGATAGAAGAATGTAGCTCCATTTGAGAGGCCAACATTCCATTCATTTGTTGAAAGTCCATGAATACTTAGGACCACCTTGTGCCAAAGCTTGTCAGAATCCCCGTGTGCCAAAGCCCAACCCTTCCCAAATAAATTACTTTGCAACTAAGCCCAAAAAAAAAACAATTCCTAGCAACCCTTTGTTTAGCTAATGCAACAGCCATACAATTAGCCAATCTTGGTAGCCACTGGATTCTTGCATATTCCTTGCAAACCATTAAACTTTTTTTATTTTATTTTCTATATGCCCACACAGCTTGTTCACTATTCAGCCACTAACCAATCACCACCATTCAGTCTCCTTCAATGAGTAAGTTTCTTAAATTCATGCCCCTTGCTCACTGCACGCCATGACAGGCTGTCATAAGCTCTGCACTTGTAGAATTTTCCACTTCAATAGGATCCGAGAACAGAGCAGTTATATGACCCTCTTCATCTCTAACC